AATTTTGAATTGAAATTTCTATATAAATAATTTTAAATAAGAAGGTCTATCCATTGTATTTGATAATAATTAAGATCATGTACTGCATCTGTTTCCTGAAGAAGATTGTAATATATTTCTAGAGAAGAATTATAATCTTTAAGTTTGTATGCCTTCAAAAATTATAAAATTAAAACAATAATTCTTTTTTTTTTTTTTTTAAAAAAAAAACAAACCACTTGTGCTTCCAAATGTCTCAATCCATTATCATTCTTTCCAGCAGTTCGGTATTTATGAAGAAGTTCTGCACCTTCAGACAATTTGTTCAACCTATAAAGATAGTAAGAGGGAATTGATTTTCGGAAAGACTTTTCGTAACAAAATCTAAAGCATTTTGATATTTCCCAAGTTTAATAAAGGTGATAACTTGCAATGGAGTGCATCAATGTCGTTTGGACTCAACTTTAGGACTATACAAAGGAAGCCATAGATTCAACTGTTAACAATTTAGAAATAAAACTCTTACTTTTATCGATAGACTTGAGAGCTTTGGCGTATTCGCCTTGATTTATTGTTCGTTCTGCATCGCTAAATAACTGCGTTAGAGTAGCTTCTTTGGACAAATTGTCTTGTGCTGACATGTTAAATCTCGATTAACCCTTTCATAGCGAGCAGCGTTCAGGAAAAACAGTTCCTGGTTATACAAGATCACGTTTTTTTAAGCCAATTAAAAACTATTACCCCAAGAGCGATAATTAATTTTTAGCTCTAGAGATTATCAAAATCGTTTTCGACCTTCAAATAGCAAAAAATTTATCCTGAAAAAAATTTTTTATAACAAAGAAAATAATAATGAATTTGTTTAATAAAAAAAAAATACTAAAACTAATACGCTAATACGCATTAACTATTACATGAATACTATTTTATTTAACTATTTTGAAAAATAAAGAATTAGTCAAATTCAAATCATAGCGATAGTATGTTTACTATGGTCTCTATAGGTGCACATCAGGGACAAATTCAAAATTTAAATTCTGCGATATGATTTAACGAACATGTTATTCTGGTTTCGTGCCATTCCGAACAACGTAAATAAACCATTTTAGAATGCTTCCGCGTATAGTGAAGATGCATATTTAACTGCCTCAGTTCGGATGAGGTAATCACATTTTGTATCCCATTAAGTGTAATAAAATATATTGATAAACAAAAAGCTTATTATACGTCATTATATTTTTATTCATAAGTTATTTACAGTATTAAACTTCCGATTACCCGATTCCTTTTTGAAAACAGCTACAAAATATGTATAAAATATGATAATGTTTTTATTTATCATGAGTTGAATCTCACAATTTCCAAAGCTACTTAATCTTTTAGATATCTTAGCATAATGGTCAGAGTATTATTTAGACTGTTTAATCTGCACGATCAGAATTAATTATTTCTTTTTTTTAAAATTTGTATAAATTTAGAAACAAAGAGAAAACAAAAACTCTTTGAAATTTTGATTTAACTCTTAACAAACAACTCTGAAAAATATTATTTCCATGGTATGTCATAGGATCAAACTTTTCAGAAATTGGGAGATCACTTTAAAATATATTTTAAATATAACTCAATACAATTAACAAAAGAAGAAAACCAATTTTATTTAATTAGTAACTTTTTAATATATGTACAGTACAATAGACATACGCTATGAAAGTAGAAAATAATGCATAAACGGATCCAACAATCAAACACTCAAATTATTCATTAAAACTATTCATTAAAACTGAATAATCATTTTCTACAACTTTATTTAGAAGTCATTTTGGCTTATAGTAAATTTTATAATGACAGCTACCAATTGAAGTTCTCTTTGTTAGCATAAAAACTATGTTAAATCTATTAATCTGTGCGAAAAAGTACTTGCCCGTTATAAAATGTTACTTTATATTGAATGTCGAAGTAAATCCAACTATCTTTCTAAACTTTGCCGCCAAAGTTTATTTTGTAGTTTGTTCCTTTTACATTAAATAATTAAATATTTCCGTGTGCTTCTTGCAATTGGTCAAAACAAATTCCAAAAGTCCATTTTTGATCAATTTGTGTAATTTATGAAAATCATAAAAAGTTACTGTATATGCTATGAAAGGTCGCACCATGTACGTACGAATGCCGACATAACTTAATAAATTTCAAAGATATCAAAAATAAACGGATGCTATCCCTCATTTAAAAATGAATGCAAACGAGTTATACAAGCTAGGAGAAAAATATTATTACGGAACTGGTGTCGAAAAAAATGAACGTGAAGCATTCATTTATTATCAAAAATCTGCTGATATGGGTCATGCCGAAGGAACATATAATGTTGGTTATTGTTATCTAAATGGAATTGGAGTTGAAAAGGATGGACATAAGGCATTCATTTATTATCAAAAATCTGCTGATATGGGTGATGCTGGTGGAACATATAATGTTGGTTATTGTTATGACGAAGGAATAGGAGTTGAAAAAGATGAACATAAGGCATTCGTTTATTATCAAAAATCTGCTGATATGGGTCATGCTAGTGGAACATATAATGTTGGTTATTGTTATGACGAAGGAATAGGAGTTAAAAAGGATAAACATAAGGCATTCATTTATTATCAAAAATATTCTGATATATATGATTGGTTATTGTTATCAAAATAAAATTGGAGTTGAAAAAGATGAAAATAAGGCATTTGTTTATTATCAAAAATCTGCTGATATGGGTTATCCTTTCGGAATATCTCAAGTAGCTAATTACTATCGAAATGGAATTGGAACGGCAAGGGACTTGCAAAAAGCAAATTACTGGTATCAAAAGTAAATATGTTATTTTTATTCAAAACTATTTTGTTTAATTCATAACATTTATTTAAAATATACTTTTAATATTAATTAGAGAAAGAAATAATCTATTAGGTAATTCATGTATTTGACTTGTCTATTTGATTTATTTATTATATTTTGGATAATCCAGTATCTAACAGCCAGCTTGGCTTTTTTCAGTTACAAGTAAATGGTTACATGAAAATATTGATATCGATAGCAATTTAAAAAAGGTATTACTTGAAAATAAAAATTTATTATCCTGGATTCCTTATGATCAATTTAGAAATATTAAAAAAATAGGACAAGGTGGATTTGCAACTGTATATCATGCTATATGGGAAAATAAAGTTCGAAGAGTTGATTTACCTGTTGCACTAAAATTACTGCATAGATCGAAAAAATATCAAGATGAGTTTATTAAAGAGGTATTTAATTTTGATATCTTTTTAATAATTTATTGTATATTATTGATATTTTATTAACTGTAATTAACGTTAAAAGCTAAAAGCATATTGCGACATTGGATATGATAACCCATCATTTTTAGAATGTTATGGGATATCAAAACATGATGTTTCAAAGGATTATATACTTGTTATGAGATATGCTGTGATGGGTTCCTTGCGTGAAAATCTTCATTCTATAGCACAAATAGGATGGAATGATAAATTAACGCTATTACTTTGCATTATTTCTGATCTTCAAGCTATCCATTCAAAAAATATTATTCATCGAGATTTGCATAGTGGTAACATTTTACAAGATACTTTAAGTAGTGCATACATTGCAGATTTAGGGCTTTCAATATCAGCTAACATTGAATCAAAGATGGAGTCAAATAAGGTTTATGGAATACTACCATATATAGATCCTGAAGTTTTGAATGGTAAAGCATATACTATAGCTTCTGATATTTACTCATTTGGCATAATCATGTGGGAAATTTTATGCGGAATGCCAGCTTTTTGTGATAAAAAATTTGATGCACAACTTCAAATACAAATATGTAACGATTTACGGCCAGAAATTATTGATAGCACTCCAAAATGTTACTTAAACTTAATGAAAAAATGTTGGGGAAAAGATCGAGAAAAACGTCCAACTTCAGTAGAAATAGAAAAAATTTTTAAAGAATGGCAAACTGATAAAAAATTTTTATTAGAACTTTCAGAATCAGAAAAGATACTAAAATACAAATATAACGATAAACCAATATATGACGATTCACTTTATAAAACCAAATTTATTTATTATACTTCATTTTATCAAGGTAATTGATTATCTTAAATAATTTTTTGTTAATAAATGTTGTGATTAATATTAATTTTTTTTTTATAGCAAAAGACTCTCTCTGCCTTCTTTTTACTTCTCTTAAACACTTATTTTATTATTAATCTTTATCAAACTTTATTTTTATTATTTTATTTATTTTTTTAATTTTAAAACATTTTATTCAAACTTTACAAAAAAATAGTTACTTCTAAATTATATTATATATTCTAACATTCTACTTAGTTTTAAATATTTTATTATATATTATTAAGATTTATAATAAAAATTTTTTTTATCAAAATATTTCTTACTCAAATATAATAGTAAAGTTAATATATTCTCAAAAAACAAAAAAATAGTAACTTAAATAATTATGTATATACTATACATATATGACTCTAGCTTATCACTAGGTTGGAAATAGAGTTTTTAGATTCAGTTCAGGTTTAGTTTAGTTTAGATCAAACCTGAACTTGAACTGAACTTGAATAGTAAATTTTACTAATTTCAACTCCAAACTTAGATTTAAACTTATAGTTTCCAAATCTGAACTAGACTTGAATACTGTTATAAGGTTAGTTTAGATTTAGTTTAAAGTTTACAAACATGTTTGGGTTTGAATATAAAATAATTAAAAAAAACTTTATAGTCTAAAGTAGAGTTAATATCTAAGGATTTAACCTCTTAAATCTAGATATAATCATTAAATCTGAATTTAATTATTAAATTTAGATCAGAAATATGCGAATTTTGTGATTTGCTATGATTAAAATAAATCATAGTAAATCACAGAAAACATGTGATTTGTTTCAATTACAAAATGTAGTATTAGTAGCTATATTGATAATAATATAGTCAAATTTAATAAAATTATTATAATATTTCATTTTGTGATATAAAAATATAACAAAATCTTATATTTTAATAGTGTTAGTTCAAAAAAATTTTATATTTCTTAAAAAATAAAATTTAGTGCAACTCATTTTTTTAAAAAATTATAAGTTTTTTGTTTTTATGAGATAAAATTTTAGATATTATGTTATTAAATTAGTACTTTAATTTTAATTATTGGTTAATCATAGTAAATTACATAATTTATCGTTATCAAAAACAAAATTGATTAAATTATATCACAAATTTTATATGTCCCTGATCTGGATTTAATAATTATATTCAGATTTAATAATTATATTCAGATTTAACATGATAATACATTATCTAATTAGCTAAAAAAATATCTGTATATATATTCAGCCTTATATAAAATTACAGTATGCCTTCTTTTTATTATAAAAGTTATTAACTTTGAATTTTATATAATATATTCTATTTAAATAGCAACTTATTTGCTCAAACCAAAACTTTTACAATATTATACCATACTTGAAACTATAAAAGATTAGAATATACTTATTATTTATTAATCTAAGTATATATTTTGTATGCTTTAGTATTATCTATTATATTAGATTATAAAATTATATATTTTCTAATAGAAACATAAAATATGCTTAGA